AAAAAAAAAAAAAAAAAAATTTTTTTTTTTGAAAAACACTCGCTCAAGCTCGCAACCAATTTGTACAGTCTGAAAAGTCATCAAATAAATGCTGATTTCTCGCATTCGTAATTTTATCAAACAAAAAAGAAACTACCCCAGCTGTTAAGTTAAAATCATTGAAATTAGGAGATAAAAAAAATGAAAATTTTGAAGTGTAAAAAATATAAAATATTATACTTTCTGTAAAATATGGTAAAGGTAATTTAGGAGTTTTTGTGCCATTGAATCCAATTATTTTATTGTGCTGTACAAAAAATCTTCTTCCGTCCTATGATAGTAGTCACCAACCAAAAAACTTTTTCCAGCTAACGTTAGCGCTAAAAAAAGTCTGCCTAGCATCTTCAAAAGTATAGTTCTCATCCAATAATATTGTAGTAAAAAAACCAAAAAAAAAAAGAGCAAAACTGAAGAACACATATTTGGTGTTTATAACTTAAGTAACTTAAGTCAAATGAGATAAATGGCCTTTTCTGCACAAGTCAAATAGCTAAAACTTCCGCGTCGTAGGTGAAGATCAACAGAGAAATACAATGTATTGCTGGCAAAAACATTGAAAATTGTCAAATTTGAAGTGTTTAAAGCTACTTAAAAAATTTTAAGCATTTTTTTTAAATAAAAATTTTTCTTTTTTCTCTATAACTTTTACCTTTCGGCTTTCATATCTCTTTTTTGTCTTATATGTCACCACATTATTGTGACTTAAGCAGAGCTATCCAAAGAAAAAAGCAAAAAATGACCTTTTTTTCAGGTCTGTGTATCAAATTCTTTCTTCTTCATAAAAGAACTTTTCAACAAAAATTACTATTGCTTAATTGACTTATTCGTGAACACCGAAGAAAAAAGAAAGAAATCCGGGTTTGAAAAACAGGAAAGTATAAAAACTATTAATATTTTTCTTAATCTCATTTTCTTCCAAAGAACCTCATTTATTCGTTTGATTTCAAATGGTTACTTTTAAAGATACGTTTTTATGGCTGTTTATTAATTAAAAGCACAATACTTTTTTTTTAGGCAGTAAAAAAAGATAAGGAATATACTTTAAGCAAGACAAAAGACTTTAACTCAGAGGGATGGCTGAATAAGCTAAGTGTAATTGTCTGCAATGTGTACCAACCTGCAGAAGACATAATTCGTTGTTCATCTTCAAATGCTTCCAGTTCCTTTTGCTTCTTTCTTCGTCGAGACATCGCCCATTTGACCGTTGCCATCAAACAAATGCTTATGCAAAGTATCGCCATAATAATTGCTGCAACAAATACGGGCTAAGAAAAGTCCCAGATTCATAACTTCTCAGCTGTCAGAAAAAGATGATAAGTCTATCAGTAGTGTAAACTCGATCTGCTTTGTTATTCCTTCTCGATACTTTTTTTAATTTCAAATAACATCTAATCTGACTCTAATCTGACTCTGCTGTTTTAATTCCGCAATTCTGTAACGCAAATCTGTCAGTTAAAAAATCAGGCAAAGAAAAGCTAGTGAAAATTTTTGCTAATTTTTTTTTTCTTTATTAACATTCTACCGTAACTTTAGAATTTTGAGAACAAAAAAGATCTCATTCTTGCAAATCAATGCAGCACTGTTCACCAAACAATAATTTTAGACGCCACAAATTAAAAAATTAGAAAAACTAGCAAAAACTAGCAAAACAACACTTTTTTGACAAAAACTACAAAACCTGACAGAAGCAAAAACTAACCGAGAATAATCCTGCCAACCATTGATAGTGCACTGCCGGTAAGTGCTAATGGTGGTTGATCGTTAACACAGAAATCTATTGCTCTTAATGGTGTTCCTTCTGGTGGGCAATTATTTATAGATCGAACACAAACAGCCAGGCAACCTGGTTTTTCAATGTCAATATCCACATTTTCTCTCAGATAGGCTCGGAACCATTCCAGCATTGTATCACACAGCCATGGATTACCGCAAACATACATAACACGACGATCATTAGGCACCGGTTGGAATGAGTTCAAAAACGTATTATCGGGTAACGTTTGAAGTTGATTGAAACTATAAAAAAAAATACACGTATCTATATATACTGCTAATGTATAAGATCCTATTCATAACAGACATAATTCTGCGTTCAACAAACTAAATGATGGAAAAAAACAGACTAATTCAGCTCGCCGACGAGTGAGTAAACACGAACAGCACGTACAGCAGTACAAGGAAAAAAAATTGTTCTTTTTAAACAGTCGTTCTCCACAAAAGGTGTTCTTTGATATAAGCCAGGAAAAAAATTTCCAGCTAACAAAATTTTTTTTCCGCTTTGCTCAATTGTAACCGTTGTCTTCATCTAATCGGTTTGCTTCACTTGTAGGCAAAAAGTTAACGAAAAAATTGTTTGATGGTAACTACGGTTGAAAATACATATTATCAGCTCGTTTTTCCTATATCAGTCATCGAAACAGTAGTCAACAGAGACAATAAGCCTAGAAGCTCAAAAATTTTAGTATTCTGAACTGTTTTCCATTAATTCCTGCTTCATAAACATACGCTAAGACATGATCCATCTAAAAAGTGCATAAAACCATCACTGTAACAAACTGACTGATATTTGAAAGGTGCTGATTTTACTAACCTGATATCCAAATGTCTTAAAGCTGGAAGATTAGCAAATGCCAACGGTTCAACCTGTTCAATTCTGTTGCCACCCAAGTCAACAGAATAAAGCTGATTGAGACCACGGAAAAAGTATGCCCGAACTCTAAAAAAAAAAGAAGCCGAAATGATTCAAGTGCAAAAAAAAAACTAAACAGCTGAGTGCAAAAATAGAAATTTTTCACTATCTTTCTTTACGGCACAAAATTTAAATTTTTTTTTGATGTTGTCTTTTTTTTTTTGATATGAAAAGTTGTTATAGTCCGTTGCTCTTATAGCTTGCTTTTTTCCGTCACAATTTAATTACTGAACATTCTCATTTAATGGCAACAAACACCAACTGTAAAAAAACTTTAAAAATTTTTTATTCACTTTTTTCCCATCCATTTCCCTCTCCTTCTTTCATTTGCGGTTTTTTCCATTACTTTTTTGATTCTTTTTAACTCAGCTAAATTCAAAGAAACAGTAAAAAAAAATAAGTATGCAAAGAAACAATCAATATAAAAATTTTTGTTTGGAAAATGTGAGGGTAAAAGGAAATTTTATAGCGTAAAATTTCGTTGGTTAGTGTTAGACGCCAAACAGTCACTCCACTTAAAGTACTCAGTATTTGCATAGTGAAAATGACCGACTTCTATCCTCCACCACTCACGCGGCAATCTTTTTTTTGATTTTTTTTGCTACGACATAGTAAATAAAATAGATTTTCAAAAAAAAAAAAACCTTTTTAAAAATCAAAAGTAAAAAAATGGGTTTATTTGCATATTTTCTCCCTTTTTTTTCCAGATTTAAAAGTGAATAATAGCAAGACAATTGTTGAACAACTAAAAAACAGAACAATTCCTTCCTCCACTATTTTTTCTTTTTTTTTTTTTTTGCTGACAACAGACAGTCAAAAAAATACCAGCACGATAAAAAAAACTAAGCATTACAGTATTTGGAAAGATCCAAAAGTTCAATTTCTTCCATCTCATCTTTCTTGCTATAAACTGTTCACTTGCATTACCATCCTTGATTTAGAAAAAAAGAAATAGAGCAAAAATTTTGGTGAAGAAAAACAATTTTTTCCCCAAAAAAAACTAACAACTCCTTTAGAAGACAAAATTTGTTGAAATAATCGTTGAATACGCTAAACAACAATCCATACAGAAAAAAAAAAAAACAAAAATATACACGAAGAATTCAATGTATCTGTGAAAGCTAAAAAACTGAATAACAAGGTTATCACAAATTGTTTTGTGCAGAAAAGTACATTGAAGTAGAAAGAACAAATATTGATAGATCAGAAGAATGACAAAACTAACACTGAAATTCTATTTTTATTCAAGACAATTGCTTGAATTTGCGGTGTCTGCTGGAAAGCATCCTGTTCAATGGTATCCACTGCAGCCTCAGACATCTCCAAACGTATCAAATTCGGTATATACTGCAAATAACTGAATAATTCAACTGTTTGGTTTATTATTCAACGTTAAAAATAAGAATAAATTACTGATAAGTGATTAGTTGCTGTCGCTAATATTTTAATGCCTCTTTTCTTCGATTCTTAATGGCATTCAGAAACAACTGATAGAACAAAAAAACAGTAGCTGTTACAACAGCACTTTCATTTCTCATTGTTCTCTTCTATAAATGACATTACTTAACAGCTAAAGTAAAACGCATCGGCAAATCACTGATTATCGTCAGTGTACCAAACAAAACTTTTTTTTACTTTATGTTAAAATTATCAAACACACGCATCATCAGAAAAGTTCTTTAAATTCTAACAATCACTGTATTATCCTGGCCTGTTTTTCTCTATATTCATAAGTTCTTGATCTTTAGCTTGTACCTCATCACAGGTGTTAAAGGCGAATGTAAACAGATTAAAATACAAGAAAAAGTAAAAGTCGAAAAGTTTGCTATTTTTGTTTCCCGTATATCACAGCTAACCCGCTTGTCCCTTGTTGTCCATCTCCACCACCGCCTTCAGTATCTAGCAAAACCATTAACTTTATGGTAGCATTAAAATTTTTATTTGCCATCACCATCACTATCATTACCGCTACCAGTAGCACCTCTGATAAACGATATTGCAGTTATGGTAATTAATGGTAAAAAAGTGATATAAAAAATTACAAATTTTGCTCTTACAATGATCAATATTTTCAGCAATATCACGATCGAGAGCAACAGCCAAAAAAGCCTTTTTTTGGCTTTATTCATACAAAATAATAAAAATGAAAAAAAAAAGTGTAAATTTTTTTCCTTTATTCAAAAAAAAGGCTCTTCTTTGTCTGTATATTGAGTTGATAGAAAAAAATTTTTGTTTAAGAGAAGCTGGAAAAACAACTAAGTTTATTAGCCCTATTTCTGTTCCATCCAATATACTTTTTTAAAAAACTTCCACCAAAACTACTGTTGACTTAGTTATTAACTGTAGAGCTGTGCTTTTTTTTCTTTTGTTTTACATCTTCTATAGTTTATAAAACTAAATTTTTTCTTGAATTAAATTTAAAAAAAAAAACACCAAGATTTTGACACTCGACAGCGATGAAACAGCACTTTTTTTTGGTTTACCACCACTAGTGACAATAACGATGACACCAAAACTGTTGCACCTATTGTAAAAAGAAAGATAAGCTAAAATTTGATAAGCTCATTAAGAAGTTTTGAAAAAAATTTTCTTAAAACAGGAACGATTAACAAACGAAGAAAAACCATTAAAAATATCAAAAAAAAATTTTTAAAACTGCTGTAACCTGAAATGAATTTGTTTTTACTTGTTAATGAAGTAGCAAATAGGTTTCTTGACCTCCCAGCAACAAAAAACTGTAGTTATTTGATAACCTCTTAAATGAAATTTTGTCATTTCTCAACAACTATCCAGATAAGCCACTAAATTTTTGTATATCTGCTTCAATCAATCTTCTTAACCACTATGCGCTAGCTGTACAATATTTCTGTTTTTCAGCGAAAATAAATTTCACCGAAAACTTCCATTTTTACAAAAAAAAAAATTTATAACTTCATTGTTTTCGAGTAAATGTCCAAAAATCAGCAAATGGGCTGTCAAAAAATACATTTTGGTCTTGAAAAAACTAATTGTTTTGTCAGCATCACTGTTACCGGAATAATAGTGTAAAAGAGATATGTAAAGCGCAGGAAAAAAATGTCTCAACAGCTATCTAATAATGACGAACAGAAAAAAAAAAGAGAAGTTTACAGAAGGAAAAGAAAAGCAATGAAAAAAAACGACAAAAAATATTGAAATACTTTTTGAAATACATTTTTTTCCTTTTTTTGCAATAATTTATCTATACTAAAATTGTCATTAATAATAAACAACACACAATAATATCAGTTACCTTTTCATTGGTATTCTATAGAATGAATTCACCCCCCACTACTTTTCGTTTTCAAAAATTCAACAGACTATATTCAACAACTGAATCAATATGATTCTGTCGCTCAAAAAATATAATCCTCTTCGACTTATGCTCTCAAACGGTAAATTAACATTTATAACAACAATAACCGGTAACCATAAAAGCAGCAAATGTTTGACACTAATGATGGTATTGATAATAGGTGTTCTACTAAATGTTCCTAAATCCTCCATACACTACACCTCGTTAAAATCTTGTAATTTTGAACTAAAAACAGTAACAGTCATTTAAACAGTTGAGACAACCCCTTCTTTATCCCTTCACCTAATAGTTACCTGTCATAAACTGTTCAGTTGACCATTAATAGTCGAACAACTACAGTGAGAAAAAAAAGCGCAAACTAGAGGTCGATTTGCCAAATCTACTACCTGGTAAATTTCCCCTCGTTCCTTTCCTACTGCTTCCTTACTCTCTTCAATTTTTTGTTGCTCATTTTCCGTAAACTGGTTAACATTACAAAATGAGGTTTTTTTAATTGAACAAACAACAAAATCTTTCAACAATCCAGAAACCAGTTAATATACAGTCTTATGTAGACGAGGTGCTAAAAAGAGAGCCCAAAACGTAGAGAGGAAAAAGAAGAGAAGAAAAAAAGAATTAGACAAAAAGTAAACAAAGTCAGAAAAAAAGTTTATTAAATGGAACCAAATTTTCCATGTTGAGATAGGTATTACAAAATAAAATTGCTTATTGGAACTGTTAAGAAAAAAAAATGAGTAAATATTCTACCAAAATTTCTCTCTTGTCTTTTCAATAAATTCAACAAACTTCCAATGATTGATATCGGAAAAAAATTTATCTACTATCCTCACTCCTCTCTCACTTGAAAACCTCACCTTACTTACTACAAGAAAAAACTATAAATAAATTTTCGTGCAACTGTTTTCTGTTACTGTCATCAATCGTACACTCGACGAAACAAACATTTTTGCATGTCCGTCGAAATGCCTTGAACACAGTAACACAATACAGTGTTGCATACATACAGTATGTTTAGCGGCAAAACAATACAGTTTTAGTTCTCTTTGTTTTCCATCTACTATTCGTTCTCGTTCTTCCTTATGAACGACTTAAACCATCATGTTTTCCCAATGATGAAATATTAGATAGAAGAAGAAAAAAAAAACAAGTTATTCCCCTTCCAACTCTTGTTCTATCATTCATTTAAAAATCTGAGAAAAAAATAGCTAAAAAGTGAGTTTATAAACGGGAAAAAAGAAAGAGTGCGGCAAAT